GCCAAACATTTACCCAGCATTCACTGCAGCACAGAGACGTTTTCCGTCACTTAATAATTGATGACGGGTGGCAGGACGGAGCTTAGTGTCGCCTTGCGCCATCCAGTGGCAATGATTGTGCAGCGGTAACACTTGTGCCTCGGCAAGACGACTCCTGGGTTCGATTCCCCACTCAGGTGCCTCGATGTGGACTTTGTATGTTCTTTCCCTGTTCTGCATAAGTTTCCTCCAGGTTCAGCTAAAAATAAGTAATGCAATTCTTCTTGGTTCTTTCGGTAAAGTCACATAGAAGGGAAATAATAAAATAAAAAAAAATTAAACATAATAAAATAATTCTCACGACGTTTCAGCCACAATGCAAGCAGCCGTCCTCAGGTGAAAAACAGGTCTGTCGGAAAGACAGCGTCTGAATGAAACACCACCAGGCTTGGCAGCGTATATGTAAGCTGGGTTGGAGGGGGAAGAGCGCCTTGACAAAATAATTTGCATATCAAGAGGAATTTAGCATATTTATGGGAAATGCAGATATGGGATTAGTCACTACTTGTGGAATGCGTAGGAGGTGGGTGGGGGGTTTCAAAGTCATATTATGCCCGTGCATTATGCAGGATTAGCAGCATCAAAGGGAGGGAGTAGGGTTAGCATTAATAAAGGGAAGGAATGTTAATAGTATGGAGTTGCAGCAACTAAACCACCACGTAAAAAACTAAAGTATAAACTACATAGTATCATCAGTATACTAAATATACTCTCCAATAAGCTGAGCTACTAACCGTAAGACATACAGCGCTAACCCTAACCCTAATGTACCCACTAGTGGACCATGGGAGGTAATGACAGGGGAGTCAACTTGCAGTACGAATGGACTGGTGGCTACGAGAATGATAAAGAATAGAAGCGGGGCCAGGTGTCGGAAGAGGACAGTAGAGTCTGCCGGTGGAGCAAACATCCAGAGCCAGCGAGAAGGTTCGGGAATGGGGGCGTGGCCTCGGACTGTATATAAGGAGACTCGGGGCTGTTGCAGTGAGGTCTCCGCTTGTTGAAGTGGGGAGCGATAGTGTAGCGGTTAGCGCGCTGCGCTATGAACCTAGCGACCCGGGTTCGATTCCCGCTCACGGCCAACACCAGTGACGATTATCTGAACCGGTCCTGGGCCTCCCCTAGGTCGACTCAGCCTGAAATGAGTACCTGGTGTGGTGTGTAAACATCGCCACTGGGAAGACAAAGGCGGTCGGGCGTGGTGCTGGCCACCCGCCCCCTCGTGTACCGTTCCGGCCTTCATAGGTGCTCGCTAACAGCACTTGCCCCTACAGTCTGTTAAGACTATACGGGGGACCTTTGTCTTCAATAAAGAAACCATCTCAAGAAAGTGTGTCAAGTCGTCATTACAATAATAACCTCTAGTGTATAAAGCACCTTTCATACTCAACTATCTCACAGCGCTGTACATAAAAATACAACTACACTCACGAGTATAGATATAATCTCGGCGAAATAGAAAGCTGATAATAACAATATCAATGACTAACACTCGAAATTTCGACTACAATCGAAATACCCGTCTGTTCTCCTACAACCGCGCGTGTTGTTTTCATAACGCGAATTGGACGTAACGCGATTGAGTGAACGGAACTCCGTCGCGCGCGAGTAATAAGCGGTTGTACGGCTGACATGGCGTAGCATCGTCGCACGAGGCACTGGGATACTGCTGGATGCATCTAGATGCCGTCCACGCGGCTCAAGTCTTTGTTCAGCCTGCGTACGCATCTCACGTGTTATCGCGTACTGTGCGGTGCTCTTCAGGAACGCATCTTCCACCACGTTCTATGAGAACAGACCGTAGTGGCTTCGTCCCCTTACTGCAAACATTTGTCAGGACCCTCCTGAAAAGTAGTCTTAAGACTCAGTGAGGCTTTCCTGGGTCCACCAGAATAGTAATAATAATTAAGAGTAGCATTCTGGATAAAATTATAGTTTGCATTGCATACGATTTCAGCATGGCAGTTTTAAAGAATATGACACCAGAAAAAACCACGTGAACTTTTTCTCAAGTTTTAATGACTGTTAAATATTTAATTGAACGATTCTGGGCATATCTCGACAACGCACATTTGCTTTAGAGCATCAGGCTCGTCTTGAAATGAGCATCAGTCCTATTTAACAGTCATAGTTGTTACTTTATGTGAGAGGGGGGAAAAAACGTGCTTTTTATATTTCAGAGAGAGAAACACAACCTGTGAAAGTTCATTGTTTTACACGTGAATGGATTTATAATCGTTCAAAATAATTTGTATTTCATAGACAAAGCATAGCGCTAAATATGCAACCATAGTTCTACAGAATGTTCCTTGAGTACAAATGAACGTGCATTGTAAAAAAAAAAAAAATTCCAAAAGCAATTCGTTACAAATTTCTTCCCTATCAAAACAAAGAACACAATTCGTTTCGTAATTTTCTCACAAACGGACCAGTTTTAGTGAATCCACGCACACTGGGCTTCACAGATGGACCTGTTCAAGTGAACCGAATTGTGACATTGTGCTTCATATTCTTGGATCTTTCGGTAATGTCACGTAGAAGGTAAACAATACAATTATAAAAATTAAACATAAAATTCTCACGTCCTAATTAGGACGCTGTCTTTCCGACAGCTCTGTTCTTCAGCTGAGGACGGCTGCTTATGTTGTGGCCGAAACGTCGTGAGAATTTAATTAGATGTTTTAGTATTATTATTTAATTATTTCCCTTCTACGCGACTTTACCGAAAGATCCAAGAATATGAATCCCTGCAGTAGTCACGAAGCTTTACATCGAAATTGTGCTTCATATTCACGAGTAAGAGCCAACGGGGAGCTCCGGATAACTGCAAAGTCACAGGGACGTGTGTAATGATAGTTGTCAGATTGTAAGACGTAGCAACTCAAAGAGTGAGCCAGACCCCGCCACGGGTTGTCGTTGTCGCCAGCCCTTGTCACTTACTCTTACAGCACCAGGTGTGCTTGGGGGTCAATCACCCGGCAGAGATTACCAGGCACCCCGTGTCAGGAGTCAAACCGTGGCCTGCGGTGTTGCTCATCGGTTCCGCGGAGGTGGCCACCAGTGCAAGGCCATGACCCAGCGACGAATCGGTAACCGCAAAGTGGAGATGGCAGCCTTGAAATAAACGCAAAAGTTTTCAATCTCTTTTCTTTATTCTGGAAAGACTTAATATTTGACGCAACGTGCTGTAATTTTAACAATATTATATACCATGATATAGGATTTTGGGTTAGATCGCGTGAATTAAAATGTGTCGTTAAACCCGCCACCACCCGACACAGCCAACTAGTAAGGTTTGTCACGTAAACAGAACGTGGCAATTCGTTACTAGTACAGCAACACCGGTGTGTTGGAGAGCCAAGCCACAACATTTACCATACTAATTGGCTGTGTGGGGTGGTGGCGGGTTTAACGACACATTTAATTCACGCGATCTAACCCAAAAAAAAACCTATATTATAGGTGCTGCCATTTCTATTCATTCCACGTGAGTGCCTTTTGAGTAAATGAAATAAAAGATTACCCCCCCCCTCGGGGAAATGTCATGGTAACATTACGGCTACAAACAACACCAACAACCACGTGCACACAGTCGAAGGAAAGGAAACCCAAGACAGACGTCAGTCTCGTTCAAGCGCCGTTAAGATTCACGGCAACGGTTGTACAGAGGGCGGAGAGGTGAACTTGTCAAAGTGTGAACGTCGCGAACGAGTCGACTTTTTGCGGATTTACAAAGACGGTCATCATACACAGGGTGTTCCAAAATTGATGGACCCAATTTCAAGGCAGTATATTTCACAAACTGTTTAATGAGTTATCAAGTTTTAGTAACCAGTTTATAAATTCTCTATGTGCCCTGCACCTGCTGTACGGACAACATCGAGACGATAGTTGAATCCGTCCCAAACGCCTCTCAAAGTGTCTTCTTCCACTGAAGTCACCGCTGCCGTGATTCTGTTTTTGAGCTCTTCCAGATTAGTCGCTAATGGTGGCACAAAAACACGGTCTTTGACGTATCCCCACAAGAAAAAGTCGCAAGGTGTGATGATGAAACGCACACTGCACCACAATTACGGATTCAGTCTTGCTGAACTGCAGAACGCACGCAAAACGCCCCTTGTGTGTTGCGGGGTCACCGTCTTGCGAATGACTGAGGTCAGGGGCTGTTTGTGCGCTGGGAGAGGCATCCAGCAGAAATCATTTCAAACTCTATGCCCCACCCTCTCTATGCCCCGCCCTTTCAAGTGGTAAGAGTTTCATTCATGGGCGGTTCGTGGTTGCAGAGATATAGCGATTTCAAATCGGGTCCATCTTTTTCAAACACCCTGTTTATTTGTTGTTGTTTTTGTCTCTAGCTCCGTCGATGATTCGCAGACATTTACATTTCGTCGGTGTCAACGTCTATGTGGTGGCGGTGCATGCAAAACCGACCTCAGGGTCGTACCACAATGAGGCTTCTTCTTTACGTACACAACACGATCACTTGTGAATTGTAAGTGAACTTCATTCATCATTCTGTGCAATCAAATCACTGCACTACATCGGTACGCTGTCTAAGACCAATACAGCATTGTGTCTGTGGGAAAACTTGGGATAATTCGTCTAACAGGTTTGACAGAACACCAACGTACCCACAATTTCATGAAACCATATTTATATTTATATATGAGGATCACGATAAGAATTATCTACCGAAAACACTTACGTAACTTAACAGTATTATTTAGAATTTAAGAAGTGATAATTTGCCACATATAGGGCTCGAGATAGTCGTATGGCTGTTGCCAGGGTGACGGGCAGGGCTACCACCGTGGGGAGAGGTTATGGTTCTGGACAGGGATGGTGCTAAGGGGCGGTCCATAAATGACGTCACGTGATTTTGGACGATTTTTGACCCCCCCCCCCATCATCACACGGCGTCACAAAATGTCAGACCCCCCCCCCCCCTCAAACATGACGTCACAAAGCTCTGCCCTCCCCCCTCCAAAAATATAACATGCTTCAAATCGCTTTCAACTATTGTCATTGTAGTGCGTATTTAATGCACTCTGATGTTGTAGGAGAAAACATTTATTAAAAAGTATATTTAATTAAGTAGAACTTGTTTATATTTATTTAAAGTTGCGTATTTTGATGTGACGTCACATTTCTCAAACACACCCCCCTCGTCACACATCGTCACAAATGTCTGACCCCCCCCCCCCAGGTGCGTGACGTCATTTATGGACGGCCCCTAACGGTTTTGTGACGGGGTTATGGTTCGACCTCCCATCGCGGCCAGAGTGCCAGAAGCCGCGGGAGGTTCACGTGGCGTTGTCTAGAGGGCAGCCCTGGCAAATCGGGCTGAGAAAGCCACCAGAGCCGTCCGCGCAGCAGCCGTGGAATTCGACCTCCACGTGCTCACGCACAAATCCCCCTCGAGGAAGACGGCCACACACACGCAGGGGTGGGCGTCGAGGAGTGTCACGGGGCTCCCAAATGAATGCTGTGGCCAGGCCGAGTGTTTCGCGGGGCGAGCGAGTGTTGTTATTTAGAGGGCTCTAGGGTCGGTGAAGCGTTATGGCGAGAGAGGCTCGGGTCCCTAATCCACCTTTTCCACTTTACAAGACGGTCCAGATTTCTTATCACCCCCATTTAATTCCCGAAAACGTAATATTTGTTTTTAAGTAAGGTTGATTTTAAACAGATATGAATATGCAAAGGAAAAATAAATGTTCGGGGTTAATTAATTGAGGGGGATGTCGCAAGACATCTGGACCACCCTGTACTTTAGACTAAACCTGGTAATGTTTCTCCAGTCAACACTTGGGTTTAATGAAACTGTGCAGTATTTGTTTTTTGTTATCCGAAAGTTCAAATCAATACTGGTAGAAGACCTCACTTACGAAGGAATTCCTGCCACCCGAACAAAGATGCCGATCCCAGACTGTTCGTGTCAAGTGGTTGCCACCTGTCCGAGTCAAATCCCGAACAAGTGGTGGACCAATGAGGAACATCGCAGCGACAGGGTGAGCTGGAGAATCTGGGAATCGGCAATTGTTTCTGCGATGTGGAACTAAAGCAAAATGCAATGCCCGTCTGCCCTGGGCTGGCGATGGAAGGGGTTAAAACAACCACTCGTTCTGCGGTATTCGACTTGGGGCTGATTGAACTTGGGGCCAATTAGCCGCAACAAATGAATGACCGTGAATGGGGTGGTTCTGGACCGGGGTTGGACCACCACCGATTGGCTGCGAGCAGGATAAGTACGCACCGTTTCCACCTCGCACACCACCACCTGACCATCGTTTATTTCGCCACACTTAGTGAATCGGGCCAGGATTGTGGTGGCAACCGCAGTCAGGCATGATGTTAGCCCTGCGTGGCTAACTACTGTAGCCAGTCAAGGTCATGGTTAGGGTTCATTTGAAGTTTTAGGCTTATTTGAACCGTGGTTAAAAAAAAGACTTTGACTTAGGACTAGGACCAGGTCTCGCGTATCATTTGAAGTTAAGTGAGCCACATGAACGGTATTGGTTTAAGGATAGGAGCCAGCTGCTATTGTGAAAGGATATAGGTCTGTGTCATGGGATAGTATTCGGCCCTTGTGGCCAGAATGGATCGCGTGAAGACGGTGGCGTTGGCGGGTGTGCCGTGGGTCCAGGGAGTTCGTGGCTTGCTGGGGAGGATGGCCATCACGCCTGCTGTTCCCTTCTCTCCCAGTCGAGCCAGCCTCCCCCATAATGCCGAGCCCTGCACAATTGGTAAACAAGCACACACGCGCACGCACGCACGCACGCAATCCGTTAGGGCCCACACACCGCCCACACAAGATGCCTTCTCAAGCAGGAGCCCTAATTCTCGACACTCCAGGTATGGCACGCGGGTGCCTGCTTCCGTCAACCTCAAGGCAATTTTTTGCTGATACTGAAATTATGGAATTGATAATCCATATTTAACTTTTTTTTCTTGAAAAAAAAGGAATTTTTTATATTGCGATTATGATTTGCTATCTATTTTAAATTTGGCGTATCTGTTATTGTTTATTATTGAGTTATTTTACTGTGACTTGTGCGTATGTTGGGGAAATGGCGGTGTTGTTTTTGGTTGGTTAAACACCGATTTAAAAGCTTATTGGCTCACGGGGTAATTAAAAATAAACTGAAACTGGTTGGTTCAGTTTTTGGTTGATTGCGCCACATCCACCATCAATATCAATCAATGTCATGCAGCTTTAGTTCATGTGGCACCCTTCACCGACAGAATTGTCACAGACTGCTGCACCAGTCAACGTAACATCACATCAATGAAAGTTACACAAAATAGTAATAGTAGACACCTTAGTTAAAAATATAAAAGAGAGTAGAATATATTTAAACCCCTTAGATGACATGTATATAGAACTTATTTTGCACCATACGTAGCGAAACGTGCTAATCGGACACGGTGTTCATGGTGCCCTGGACCACAAACACAAAACCATGCTCAGAATCCTCAAACTTGGGACTACGAACCCACAAACCCAGACTACGAACCCACAAACCCAGACTACGAACCCATAAGCCCAGACTACGAACCCATAAGCCCAGACTACGAACCCACAAACGTGAACTAGCAAACCATTAAACTCAGACTACGATCCCATAAACCCAGACTGCGTACCCACAAAGCCGAGTGTTGTTGTTGGTAAGTGTTGTTGTTGAGTGTTGTTGTTGCTGACTGTTGTTGTTGAGTGATGTTGTTGTTGAGTGTTGTTGTTGTTGAGTGTTGGAAAGTGTTGTTGTTGCCGAGTTGTTGCTGAGTGTTGTTGCTGAGTGTTGTTGTTGAATTGTTGTTGCTGCTGAGTGTTGATGAGTGTTGTTGTTGGTGAGTGTTGTTGGTGAATTCTTGTTGCTGCTGAGTGTTGTTGTTGGTGAATGTTGTTGTTGGTGAGTGATGTTGTTGTTGAGTGTTGGTAAGTGTTGTTGTTGGTAATTGTCGTTGTTGATGATTGTTGTTGCTGAGTTATTGCTGAGTGTTGTTGTTGCTGAGTGTTGTTGGTGAATTGTTGTTGCTGCTGAGTGTTGGTGAGTGTTGTTGTTGCTGAGTTATTGCTGAGTGTTGTTGGTGAATTGTTGTTGCTGCTGAGTGTTGCTGAGTGTTGTTGTGGGTGAGTGTTGTTGTTGTTGTTGTCGAGCGTGTGGCGGCTGCATCTCGTGTACCTGGTGTATCCCAGCTTCTGCGCGACGAGCAGCGCCTCCTTGCTGCGCCTCCCCGCGCGGCACAGGAAGACGGTGTTGGGGGCGCTCGGGGCGGCTAGCTCCGATCCGTAGCGCGCGCGGAACTCACGCGGGGACAGTTGCAGAGCCTCCCGCAGCTCCCCCACTGCAACAAAGACGAAGATCTGCCATCGCGTGCGGACTGTTGGGGCAAGCGCTGCTCGCGAGCCGCGTCCTGCGAAGGCCGGCCCCAGGTGGCTTATCGAGTGGACATTTACAGCGGCCAAATGCCTACACGCGTGCGTTCGAGGGGGAAACACTCGATCCCGTAAAGGGGGACCAGGTGGCGTTCGCACATGTTTGCTGTCGCGCCTTAAAGCCACCCCAACAAGCGCGATGACGACTATGACGACGATGATGACAACGACTATGACGACTATGATGACTATGACGACTATGATGACTATGACGACTATGATGACTATGACGACGACTATGACGACTATGATGACTATGACGACTATGATGACTATGACGACTATGACGACTATGACGACGACTATGACGACTATGACAACGACGATGACGACTATGACAACGACTATGACGACTATGACAACGACTATGACGACGATGACGACTATGACGACTATGACGACGACGATGACGACTATGACAACGACTATGACGACTATGACAACGACTATGACGACTATGACGACTACGACGAAGACAATAATAGCAACAGCGATTGGCGGGCAGCACTCACGTGGGACATTGACGCAGCCCTCGATGGTGCCGTTCTCCTTGAGCTCCGAGGGCTCGCGCACGTCCACGAGCCACACGGCAGAGGCCGCCAGCAGCGCCTTCAGCTCCTCGTACGGCACCGACACGACCCCCTCGGGCCCCTCCAGGGGCTGCGAAGCCGACCCCAGCGCCGACTCTCCGGCCCAGGCGCGCTTCCCCACCAGCTCCTCGATCTGGCGGCGGCCCAACGACAGACGGGCAATGTCGATTCGACGAGCCGTGGACTCGCCACGCCGTCGATTCAACGAGCTTTCAACGGATAAAGCATTTGGGAGGCCTAGTTGGTGTGCTGGTGTATGATCGGTGAGTCGGTGTGAATGAACAGGCATCACGATGGGTCTTCTATTCCTATTTTTTTTTATTTTACCAGGTAAGGCCCACTAGGTTATGGAGCTCTTTTTCAGAAGCGACCTGGCTATCACAAATGGTAGCACCAACGAAGTGGCTTATCGCGTGAAAATTTGTAACAGCCAAATACTCTGAACGCGTGGTGTTGATTAAAAACGTGGAGGGAAAAACCGGAGGACGCAGAGAAAAATCCACACGATCACGGGGAGAGAGAGACAGGCAAACTTCAAATGTACAGCAGGCACCAGGGTGGGGATGGCACCCACGACCTCCTGTATACCAGGCGAGGTAATTAACATCTCCTAGCCACCGCCTGTAGGCTGCCTGTGTGTGGATGGTGGCTGTGACGAGTGAGAGACACGTGGGGTGATCTGGGGCCCCTCGAGTGCCGGGAGAGACACGAAGCAGAAGCAAGAGGACAACGGCGTGTGGCCTACCGAACGTTGGCGACTTGATTGGTGAATAACCACCCCGCGTGTTCACGGCGAGGGTCACGGCCAGAAGAATGAGACACGATGGCCACGAGTTGACACTGGAATCAACCACTTTCATTTATTCCATCACCCTGGCCTTTCTGTGGCTGTGATATGAAAAAGGGCTATTGGCCAAAACGTCACTTTTTACAGATAACTTTTTCATTTTGTAAGGCCGCAGAGTGCTATTGACGAAAGTGTTGAGTTGTTTTGTGGCATGCGCGTCTGCGCACCGCTATTTGAAACAAGTCAGAACCATCCAATAATTGGAGGAATCTGTGATCGCGTTTCGTAAGACAGTATATACGTGTAAGACAACGAATTTTAGTGGGAATATTTTGAACACCACAATCGGGCCGGGCTCCATCTCTCGGATCAGGCGGAACTGGGGGGGGGGGGGGGGGGGGGCGTGGTGCGTGGATGGCAGGGAGCGGGGGTGAGAGTTGTGGATTGCGGCCACCATATCAGTGGTACAACCACGAAGAAGTCCGGGAGCAGGCCAGAGCGGATATCTCACTTGCCGGGACCACCGGATGCGGTTGTTACTTTCGCAGTCTCCAACACTTCTCAACGTAGCCAATCGCGGTGAATTACACGACAACACACTTTCAATTAGTGTCGGGGAGGGTGGGGGGCTTACTTTGTTGGCCACGTAAATACATCGATAGGGCTAAAAGTGTTGCTACCATTGAGGTGGGACTCTACCGATTCCTGCTCTGGCACCATGGGCTCCGAAGGGAGATTTGGGTTGGGCCAGAGGGAGATTTGTGGGCGCACGACCACGTACGTCGTCGATCTTGGCCTGAAATCCATCGTTGATGTCGTCAAGTTGTGTCCCTGGCCGCGCGTTGCCGACGTCCGGCCGGGCCTGAGGGCGACTGCTGACCTCGTCGGCGTGCGTCGCCAGCAAGGGGCGGCCTGCAGTCACCAGGCCGCGCTGCCACCACGGGGTCAACAGGGCACCTGTGGACAGATGCGGCAGCCACGGACGGACACTCGGAAACGTTTCTTCGAGGGTGCCACGGTGGCGAGATGTTAACTATCTCGGCTGGTGTGCAGGAGGCCGTGGGTTCGATCCCGACTCTGACGCCTGCTGCTGTGTATTTGGATTTCGCATGTCTCTCTCTGCCCGTGGTCGCGTGGATTTTTCTCCGGGTCCTCTGGTATTTCCCTTCAATTTTAGAATCAACGTCACGCGTTTAGAGTATTTGGCAACTAAATTTCTACCCGATAAGCCACTTGTTAAGCTATTATTTGTGGCCAGGTCGCTTTTGACAATAATAATAATTCAAATGTATAATGCGCATTCCATCCTAGGAACTCAATGCACAATGCATGGAAAGCAGGAAACAAAAATAGAACCGGGGCAACCGACCAAACTAAAGAGGGAAGGCCACTTTAAAGAGATGGGTTTGCAAAGCAGACTTAAATCTATCTACCGACTCCGATTGCCCTGATTTCAAGTGGCGAGGCATTCCATAGTTTGGGTGCCACGCAAACAAAAGCCCGATCACCAAAAGTGCACAACCTAGACCTGGGAGTGCTGAGCAGTTGCAGATCAGAAGTTCTTAATGACTTTGATTGAATATATAAATGTGTTAGTTCCTGCAAGTAGTGTGGGTGAGCCCTTTTAAAGCATAATAGGTTAATAGCAGTATCTTAAAATCCACTCAGAGTTTGACCGGTAGCCAATGAAGGAATAAGAGGACTGGTGTAATATGCTCACCGTACGGTGTACGTGGTGTAATCACTCTAGCAGCTGCATTCTGAACAAGCTGGAGTCTGCCCAGTACTTTGCTCGGTATCCCAATCAGTGAGGCGTTGCAGTAGTCGAGATAACACAAAAGCATCGACCAGTGTCTCCAAGTTTGCGGATGGCAGGAAACGATGCATCCTGGCAATATTTCTCAGGTGTAAAAATTACATTGTGAAGAGATATGTGCCTCAAAGGAGGCGGGCCTTACCTTGTAGAATTAAAAAAATAGTTTTGAATAGTTGAGTTTATTCAACCCGGCAACGATAGCGTGATGGGCAACACTGTGACTCGGCAGGGGCTTAACTAAACACGGCGTGTTCGACCGCGTGGCTCGGCGGGAGGACAGCCATCGGAAACGCTGCGAGTTCAAATCCTCAACTAAAACTACGACTAATTTGACTTTACCAGGTAAGGCCCACTAAGCTATATATCTCAACAGCCTGTCAAACATTTAATCATGACCGGGCAAGCCGATTCACGCCAGGGTGTGCCTTTGTGTATCATATCATATCTTGTCATTTTTTCATTTATTTTACCAGATAAGGCCCACTGAGCTATATTGTTGCCATTTTTCAGAAGCGACCTAGCTATCACAAATGATAGCTCAACGAAGTAGCTGATACCGTGGAAATGTATAGCAGCGAAATACTACTTGCATGTTGATTCTATATGTGGAGGGAGAAAACCGTAGGACTCGGAGAAAAATCCACGCGACCGCGGGGAGAGAGAGACACGCAAACTCCAATTATAATTGGATCTCGACCCTGACGCCTGATCAAACCCACGACCTCCTGCATACGAGGCGAGGGAGATAACATCTGGCGGATGACTCAGAGCATAATCTCATCCATCTGGGGTCGATCACATAAGCACCACTTTGTAGGGAAGTCAACAGCAGTTGCCTTATGGATAGACTTCACACTGTCATAGGAATGTCGAATTTACACGGTGGCACAATAACGACACGTTAACTCCCTTTCTCAGTATGCAGGAGGTCGTGGGTTCGATTCTAACCTCGAGATCCGTATATTTGGAGTGTGCATGATTCCCCCCGTGTTCACGTGGATTTTTTGCCGGGTCCTCCGGGTTTTCCCTCCACAATTAGAAACGTGTCCTTGGAGTGTTTGGCTGCTATACATTTCCACATAAGTCACTTCGTTGAGCTATCATTTGTGGCCAGGTTGCTTCTGAAAAGAACCATGTAGCTCAGTGGGCCTTACCTGGTCAAATAAAAGTAGGAAATACTGTAGTAGTAATAGTAGGCAGAGCAGTGCTTTTAGTGGTAGCAGCCAGCACCACCATAAGCACTGCTTCTGCCAGTTGTTGAAGTCACAGCTTCATGGTTTAAATGCAATACTGTCCTGCTTCTTTGAAACTAACAGGAATACCTCGAATGCATTCATTTCCTTTCCCCTACACACACCGTATCTAATATTGCTCTTGCTCAAGTGCAAGCAAAAACCATTATCTCTTTCATAACAATCAACAATATTTGTCCGTTATCTCAAACCTCCTTGAATTGATAGAGAGTTCCATTTCCGCGGTTACTGATTTGGCACCGAGATCTAGGAACCCGTTTCCAGGATACTTTTGTTCACCGAAGCGAGTTTGAGGTTTTGCCACATCACCACGGGACATCTAGAGGGCATTTCAAGTTGACCTGTTTTTAAAAATATTTTTTATTAGATTTTTGCTGTACATAAGAAGAAAGGCCCGCTGCAGAACGTTGGGCGATATGCATCTTTCTTTTCTGCATGGATCATTAAAGACACCGGCCACAGCAGTTCGATTGTGGCCCATGCAAACCAAACTAGGGACCGTATAGTAATTTTCTTGCTGTGGTTTTCCCACCTCATGATGATTGCTTGTGTTGCAATCGAAACGTCGTATTTAATTTATTTTATACCTACGTGACTTTACCGAAAGAACCAAAGAGTATGGATCCCTGCAGTCACGAAAACTTCAAATCTAGATTATACCCACTGTAGTCTGCTCTTCTTCAACAGAGGAATAGCAAAATTCCACAATCTCTCTCCAAAAGCCCTCTCATCGTGACTATGAGACCTCGACATTGGCATTGTAACTCCTGAACCCGTATTGCTGCTGTCATCATGCGCAAGAGTAGAATTGTTGCACCGACCAACACCTGGGAACTCCACCTCTGGAGACAGAATAAGTATAACCAGTAAAAACAAAGTTTTTCACTATAAATCCTTTATATGCGTGGCGGCTAGAGTCCTCTCGTCCTCTGGCTTGAGATGGCTGCCACCTATGGGTCAGATGATTGCATTGCACCATTAAGCAATTGGTAATTAAATATAATATTTTTGTCCTAAAAAGTGTAAAATTTTGGAAAAAAAATTTCACGAACATTAATTGTCACGCACAACGAGTCTGTGTGGAAAATGTCAGCTCGATTGGATCACAGGAAGTGGGTTAAAAAACGACCGAAAGATTTGCACGGTCCTAAGCAAGCAAGCGGACTTAATATAAAGGATTTTAAAATAAGTAAACCCGTAAAAACAAAGTTTTTCACTCTAAATCCTTTATATGCGTGGCGGCTTGAGTCCTCTCGTCCTCTGGCTTGAGATGGCTGCCACCTATGGGTCAGATGATTGTCTGCAGTATTAAACAATTGGCAATTAAATATAATATTTTTGTCCTATAAAGTGTAAAATTTTGGAAAAAAATTTTTACGAACATGAATTGTCACGCACAACGAGTCTGTGTGGAAAATATCAACTCGATTGGATCATGGGAAGTGGGTTAAAAAACGACCGAAAGATTTACACGGTCGTAAGCAAGCAAGCAAGCACGCAAGCACGCAAGCAAGTGAACTTAATATAAAGGATTTAAAAACCCGGGACGCATCACGGGAAGATTTAGAATAATATCTCACAGTACCCGAACGAGGGATCAACATGCGTGTTAAGTGCATGGTCTTACGTGGTGCATGATTATACACTCTTGGTGTCGAGTGGGTTGTTAAAATATATTTTCTGCACAGCTGGTAACCACGCGAAAGAAATAAAACAAAAACCCGGTAATCATTTTGTTGTTGTTGTTGTTGCACATTGAGAAATGTCTCGAGCAATAAAGCACGGAATATATAACGTTCAGCCGACAGCTGGGGGGAGTTGCCGCGGTGGTGGAATTGTCAGCGCCATGGAACGTGCAACCCAGAGATGACGCCGGGTTCGATCCCGTCTCCTGGCACGACGGTTGAACTTAAAGACGCAGGGTTCTCAAGCCCCAAATGGGCATGTTTCTTGGCGCTATAACAAATAGCCCATTGCCTGAATTGTCACCACTTAGAGATACATATGTTCGTATCTGTGTATGTATATGTAAGGTTTTTAATAGAAATTTTGAAATATTTTTTTCGCTCGGGCAACGCCGCTAGTTATATAAAAATATGTTCGTATTATAATGCAGCGGTAGTTTCGGAGTGCGTTGAGTTTTGTGCTTTTGCTTTAAGCCCCCACCGCGTCTGTGCACCCGACCGTGTAAGTGGGCGAACCGTGGTCAGTCCATCGGCAAGGCCACGTGTTGGTGGGGCAAAGCGTGATTTACACCCCCCACACATCCTCCGAGACGTCTGCTCAGTGTGGAAGAGCGAATCAAATATCCCTCCTCGAGGGCTGGTTGGGGTCCCAGTGCCACCAATTTGCGTGGGTTTCCAGGAGAAACGCATTTCCCGTGAGAATGCGGTCCCGATGCCAACACACGATGTTCGGCTCCCTCCAACGGCAATCGTTATTAAAAATAATTCACATGCAGGACTTACTGTCTTCAATGCGCGGATTTGTTTTTTAAACGGCGCCCGTTCTATTTTGCCAATCGTGGCACTGCTGTGTAACCGGCGTCCGTGCCACGCAAGGAGTCCATTCGGAAATCTCACAGGAACTCTCCGGTCACCCAAAGTGTCTAAGAACGGGCAAGGGACAAAGAGGGTTTTCACAAAGCTCCTTCTTCTACTTAAAAAAATAAACCCCCTTCAAGGGAGATTTTTAGGTTCACGCGATAGGGGGCACGTTTACCCGGCACACGCTGCTACAAGATTGGCGTTTTGTCGCTCGGCGTTCAAAGTTACATCCAAAGTCTGAGAATTACAAATATTGAAATGTCAGGTTTAACTGTCACGGTCAAAATTGATATTTTAATTCTGAGGTTTGGAATTTGTCAATATAAATATAACATTTTTTTT